GGTGCGCCTGCAGTGGTCAGCTGATGCGGACAGGGCCTTTGGGAGACTGAAGGACTTGTTTACGTCGGCTCCGGTGCTGGCGCATCCGGATCCCGCATTACCCTTTCAGGTTGAGGTGGACGCGTCTGAGGCAGGTATTGGGGCCGTTCTCTCTCAACGGTCCGGCTCGCCACCTAAACTCCGCCCCTGTGCTTTTTACTCAAAAAAGCTCAGCCCGGCGGAGCGTAACTATGACGTTGGGGACAGGGAGCTGTTAGCTGTAGTTCAAGCCCTTAAGGTGTGGAGGCATTGGCTTGAGGGGGCTCAACACCCTTTCCTCATTTTGACTGACCATCGGAACCTGGAGTACATCCGGGCAGCGAGGAGACTGAACCCTCGCCAGGCTCGATGGAGTATGTTTCTCACCAGGGTCGTATTTAAAATCACGTACATCCCTGGGTCTCAGAATGGTAAGGCAGATGCACTGTCCCGGCGGTATGACACGGAGGAGAGGTCCGTTGAGCCTACTCCCATACTACCGGAGTCTTGCCTTGTGGCACCGGTGGTGTGGGAGGTCGATGCCGAAATCGAGCGAGCGTTGCGTACCGACCCCAGCCCTCCACAGTGTCCTGAGGGTTGGAAGTACGTTCCGCTCGAGATTCGGGATCGACTCATTTACTGGGCTCACACGTCACCCTCCTCTGGACATCCGGGTATTGGCCGGACAGTGCATTGCCTTAGCACTAAATACTGGTGGCCTACTTTGGCTAGGGATGTGAGGGTTTATGTCTCCTCCTGCTCGGTGTGCGCCCAGTGTAAGGCGCCCCGACATCTGCCCAGGGGTAAGTTACAACCCCTGCCCGTTCCACAACGACCATGGTCCCACCTCTCGGTGGATTTTGTGACAGACCTTCCCCTCTCTCAGGGGAATACCACCATCCTGGTCGTTGTGGACCGGTTCTCAAAGGCCTGTCGTCTTCTCCCTATGTCGGGTCTTCCTACTGCCCTACAGACCGCTGAGGCCCTATTTACCCACGTCTTCCGGCATTACGGGGTACCCGAGGATATAGTGTCTGATCGAGGCCCCCAGTTTACCTCCCGTGTTTGGAGAGCGTTCATGGAGCGTTTGGGGGTCTCGGTTAGCCTTACCTCAGGGTACCACCCGGAGAGTAACGGGCAGGTAGAACGTGTCAACCAGGATGTGGGTAGGTTTCTGAGGTCGTATTGCCAAGACCGGCCTGAGGAGTGGGCACGGTACATTCCCTGGGCCGAGATGGCCCAGAACTCTCTCCGCCACTCCTCTACCAACCTAACCCCCTTCCAATGTGTGTTAGGTTACCAGCCGGTTCTGGCACCGTGGCAGCAGAGCCAGATCGAGGCCCCTGCGGTGGATGATTGGATGAGGCGCTCGGAAGAGACGTGGAACGCTGCCCACGTCCACCTGCAGCGGGCCGTCCTTCGTCACAAGGCGAGCGCCGATCTCCACCGCAGTGAGGGGCCGGTGTACGCACCTGGAGATCGAGTCTGGCTCTCTACCAGAAACCTACCCCTCCGCCTGCCCTGCCGGAAGCTGGGTCGGCGGTTTGTGGGGCCCTTTAAAGTCCTGAGAAGATTGAACGAGGTGTGTTATAGGTTACATCTACCTGTTGAGTATAATAATATTAACCCCTCATTCCATGTGTCTCTTCTCAGGCCGGTGGTAGCTGGTCCACTCCAGGACAATGAGATAGGAGAGACTCCTCCGCCCCCACTGGACATCGAGGGGGCTCCGGCGTACACCGTTCGGTCCATCTTGGACTCCAGACGCCGGATGGGGGGTCTCCAGTATCTTGTGGAGTGGGAGGGGTACGGCCCGGAGGAGCGGTGCTGGGTGCCGCGGAGGGACATCCTAGACCCATCTCTCCTGTCGGAGTTCCACCGGGACCATCCCGCGCGCCCTGCTCCGCGTCCTCCTGGTCGTCCCCGAGGCCGGGGTCGGCGCACGGCTGGAGCCGCGCGTCAAGGGGGGGGTACTGTCACGGTTTCGGCCGAGGCTGCTCCTCCTCCTGGTTCGGGCAGGCTTCGGCGGTCGTCGTCCCCGGAGTACTAGCTGCCACCGATCGATGTTTCATGTTCGTTTGGTTTTGTCTTTATGTTGTACACCTGTGTCTTGTTAGTCCTCGTTAGTGTCCTATTTAGTTCTCGTTGGTTGTGTTTGTCTTTGTGTGTGATTGCTCATCTGTTTTCGTGTTGGAGCTACGTACTTCCCTCCAGTGTTTTGGAGAGGTTTTTCGCACATGTTAGTGCGCCGTTTGTTTGATGCCTGTGTGCGCCGTGATTTCGCCTTCGGGCTTATTGTGCTTATTTTCTACGTGATTATTGCACTAAAGTCTTTTGGACTGAGCTTCTGCGTCCTGCGCTTGATTCATGCACCACACCCACCTTCAGCACCCCTTGACACAATTCGACGGAGCATGGACTCTACAAGGTGCCGAAAGCGTTCCCCAGGGATGCTGGCCCATGTTGACTTCAAAGGTTCCCACAGTTGTGTCAAGTTGGCTGGATGTCCTTTGGGTGGTGGGTCATTCTTGAGACGGGAAACTGTTGAGTGTGAAAAACCCAGCAGCGATGCAGTTCTTGTCACGCGGTGCGCCTGGCACTTACCATACCCCATTCGAAGGCACTTAACCTTTTACTACAGTGGGCTAAATCAGGGTATCACAGTGTTTCTTGATAGTCTTAAACAAATCTACTATAAAACAAAATTATACACCTCACACATATGGTTATGGGCTTAAAAAAAGAAGACACCTGCACCATGTCAGATATAGAATGTAACTATATTCAATTTTGAGTTTGCATCCCAATATTACACTTTATATACATGACAGAAGACTGAAATATAACACAACCGTTTCACACTGGATGTTCTGCGTATAAATTTTATTTTTATTTTTATTAATTGTGAAATTATGAAAAATTATAATAACATTCCACCCATAAGGCCACTAGGTAATTTGACTGGAGCAAAGGGCTACATATTTTGCCTTTCCCATTCACCCTCTGAATGGCACACATACACAATCAATGTCTCAACTGTCTCAAGGCTTAAAAATCCTTCTTTAACCTGTCTCCACTCCTTCATCTACACTGATTGAAGTGGATTTAACAGGTGACATCAATAAGGGATCAAAGCTTTCACCTGGATTCATCTGGTCAATCTATGTCACTGAAAGAGCAGGTGTTCCTAATGTTTTGTACACTCAGTGTAAAGTTCATTAAGTGACAACAATGACATACTCAGAAACACATAAATAACAAATCAAGGTAGCATTTTAATTCATGGTACAGAAATGACCTGGTATTTACTTGAAAATGACATGTTAAAATTGTAATTACACAATAATAACATGTGAATTACTTTGTGAATTATGATCTGTGGACTTACCTGTGCATTATTTGTTTCTTTGAGACTCATTGCAAGAAGCACCATTCGGCACCATTTGGTATCAGGTAGTTACCAATTGGTATAATTAAGTAAGTACCAGAAAATACCCATTGATAACTTATAACTTCCTAGTAAATGACAGAATCCATGTCATCTCTGTACCGTAAAATAAAGTGCTTCCCAAATCACTGCCTACTATACCAGCTCAATTCCAGAGAAATTTCATGAAAAGATTACATTCTTAGTGATTATTTCAGAAAGACTCAGTTATCCTGTTGAAAGTTATGCTGGGATCAAAATAAAGGTTTATTGTTTACACCACTAGTATAATAGTGCAAAGTTACAGTAATAAAACAATAATGCTGAATGGTTAGTCAGTGAGAGAGAGCGAGAGAGAGAGAGAGAGAGAGAGATTTCCAGATCTTATGGTAATAATTTTTCAGACACCTGGGAGGGTCCAGGTTTTATCAAGACTCAGTACAGTCCTTTATAGGAAAGCTGCCTCACCATGGCCAGTTAAGTTACTGCAAGCATTATGCATACTCTATATGTGCTATATTATAACAAATACCTGTATATCATGTGTTTTATGTCTCTTGTCATCACGGCAGTAACATACTGAGCCAGATTTATCAACTGTTTGCTTCTGTGGGAATTCTCTACCTTTTATTTTTGCCCAGAAACATGAAGCTAACATAGTCTTGTCTCTATGACATTCTCAAATGTTTGAATTCGGTTGTTTTGATTTGTAAAGCTTCACCATCAACAATATGAATTCGTTTTTCATAGGTTCACAGTTATGTAGCAGTAGTTTACAAATTGTTATGAAATGGAAATGGATTTGTTTGATAGTGTGTCACACACACACACACATATTCACATTCATATTCATGAAGAAATTATGACAAACAACAAGAATGGGTTTTTAAATATTTTTTATATTTAATTTTTTTCCCAATATCGGACCAGAAACAATCAAATTATTTTGTCTTTTTTGTGAATTCCAAGAACTCCAAACTGTGTTATTCTTAAGACATTTCAGTGAGGTTAAGTTTCCTTCTCTTTAAAAAATAGTACAATATAGTACAATAAGGTGGTTGTTTCTTCTCTTTACCAGTAGATAAAAACATGTAGTTGTTACAGAATACAGAAAAATAGGATAAAGGAGGGAGGGGAAAGGGGGCAACCCTGACTAGTGCTAAACGAGATAAACAAAACCAGGTCAAACATGCAAGTTTTCCCCAGTTTAGTCCTCACATACACACAGACAGTTATAACCCCGAGAGAGACAAACATTTCATACTGAACAAAGAACACTGAACTTACATTTGAACCGCAACCCATTCTTTTTTCCACAGACAAAAACTTCCCCCTGCTTTCCTGTCTTTTCTTACCCAGTGAAATTGATTTAGGTGTTGCCCTTTGGGCGTGTCACTGGACTATCTGACCAGTGCTTTGAGAAAGAGATACAGAAAGCAAATAGGAAGGGACACAGCATGTGTTTACGACGAGATGTTAGGAAACTGAATATTGGTGCCGGCTTTTGGCCACTGTTGGCTAAAGCCGAGTAAACCCAAGGATGGCAAGCGATCATTTATTCGTCATCATCATCATCATCGTCGTCATCATCATCATCATCATCATCATCGTCGTCGTCGTCGTCGTCGTCGTCGTCGTCGTCATCGTCGTCGTCGTCGTCATCGTCGTCATCGTCGTCGTCATCATCATCATCATCATCATCATCATCGTCATCATCATCGTCGTCGTCATCATCGTCATCATCGTCATCATCGTCATCATCATCATCTGGGTCGATCTGTCCAGACAGCACGTCCTCGATCCAGTCCTCAAGCTCATCAGCAGTGGGCATGTCCTCATCATCATCCATCTCCAACCACACACTATCGGCCTGAGAGGGAACACACAGTGAGAACACACACAAGATGGACACTAAATAGGCTAAAGGCAGACAGGCATTGAAGCTAATGAGAGGCTTGGAGAAACTGAAAATAGACCAGCAACAATCCCCAGGGAGCAAAGAGAAAAAGGTAGAGTAGAGCCTGATGAAACAGCATAATGAGATATACTGTACTAAAGACACAGCAGAGAGACCAGGAAGGATGAGAAGATCAGACTTACATCTTCTACATCCACGACACCGATCTGAGGGGAACCTAGGTCAATGCCGAATGTCTTCTCCCAGTAGGGCACAAGCTAAAGGAGAGAAGGAAATAAAGAGAAACATTTTGAATTTTGAAAAACATTTTCCTGCTATGTTTCTTAGGTTTTGCTACAATAAATTACATTCAAAAAGTGTTTTAATGACTAGATTACTAATCTACCCCATTCCCTAAAAATTCCACCCCCAATAATTCATTGACAGGTTTGAAACCCTACCAATCCTGTGACTCTCAATATCCTGCTCCTCCCTTGGCAATCCCAACCACAGTGATTGATTGACAGGCCAAACTGTTAAGAATGTGGCCAGGATAACGTATGACAATGTGTAATTGAAATCAAAATGGAAGGAAAAATATTGTTTTATCCAATAAGGATTTGAATTAGAACTTTTCACTTTATTTTGTACAGTTATCTGGTAGGGCATTGAACTAGAACTGTCAACTTGAAAATGCAAAGTTTTGCATTTCAATTTTGTCATAGATTATGTTCACATAAAAATAATATTGCAAACGTATTATTAATGTATTTGCCCAGAAGCCACGATAGAATAATACATATTTTGAATGGTTTGGGCTAGAGCAGGGGTCTCCAATCTTTTCTTTCATAAGAGCTACTTCATACCCAAAAATTTTTTTGAGAGCTACTCATATACAGCCTGCATATTTCGATATTGTGTAGGCCTAATTTGAATGAATGTGAATACAAACCAGTGGTGGCTGCTGAGGGGAGGATGGCTCATATTAATGGCTGGAACGGAGCCAATGGAATGGCATCAAACACATGGAAACCATGTGTTTGGTGTATTTGATACCATTCCACTAATTCCGCTCCAGCCATTCCCACGAGCCCATCCTCCCCAATTAAGGTGCCACCAACCTCCTGTGATAGAAACAAAGAATGGCACAGCACACATAATCTAATCGTTTTAGTTCTTAAAAACACAAACCAAAATCATTATAATGTAGCATACACTGAGAATATTGCTTTTTTAAGAGAAAAATAACAAGGTTTTTACATTTGAACAAATACAGTGGGGAAAAAAAGTATTTAGTCAGCCACCAATTGTGCAAGTTCTCCCACTTAAAAAGATGAGAGAGGCCTGTAATTTTCATCATAGGTTCACGTCAACTATGACAGACAAATAGAGATTTTTTTTCTCCAGAAAATCACATTGTAGGATTTTTTATGAATTTATTTGCAAATTATGGTGGAAAATAAGTATTTGGTCACCTACAAACAAGCAAGATTTCTGGCTCTCACAGACCTGTAACTTCTTCTTTAAGAGGCTCCTCTGTCCTCCACTCGTTACCTGTATTAATGGCACCTGTTTGAACTTGTTATCAGTATAAAAGACACCTGTCCACAACCTCAAACAGTCACACTCCAAACTCCACTATGGCCAAGACCAAAGAACTGTCAAAGGACACCAGAAACAAAATTGTAGACCTGCACCTGGCTGGGAAGGCTGAATCTGCAATAGGTAAGCAGCTTCGTTTGAAGAAATCAACTGTGGGAGCAATTATTAGGAAATGGAAGACATACAAGACCACTGATAATCTCCCTCGATCTGGGGCTCCACGCAAGATCTCACCCCGTGGGGTCAAAATTATCACAAGAACGGTGAGCAAAAATCCCAGAACCACACGGGGGGACCTAGTGAATGACCTGCAGAGAGCTGGGACCAAAGTAACAAAGCCTACCATCAGTAACACACTACGCCACCAGGGACTCAAATCCTGCAGTGAAAGACGTGTCCCCCTACTTAAGCCAGTACATGTTCAGGCCCATCTGAAGTTTGCTAGAGTGCATTTGGATGATCCAGAAGAGGATTGGGAGAATGTCATATGGTCAGATGAAACCAAAATATAACTTTTTGGTAAAAACTCAACTCGTTGTGTTTGGAGGACAAAGAATGCTGAGTTGCATCCAAAGAACACCATACCTACTGTGAAGCATGGGGGTGGAAACATCATGCTTTGGGGCTGTTTTTCTGCAAAGGGACCAGGACGACTGATCCGTGTAAAGGAAAGAATGAATGGGGCCATGTATCGTGAGATTTTGAGTGAAAATCTCCTTCCATCAGCAAGGGCATTGAAGATGAAACGTGGCTGGGTCTTTCAGCATGACAATGATCCCAAACACACTGCCCGGGCAACGAAGGAGTGGCTTCGTAAGAAGCATTTCAAGGTCCTGGAGTGGCCTAGCCAGTCTCCAGATCTCAACCCCATAGAAAATCTTTGGAGGGAGTTGAAAGTCCGTGTTGCCCAGCGACAGCCCCAAAACATCACTGCTCTAGAGGAGATCTGCATGGAGGAATGGGCCAAAATACCAGCAACAGTGTGTGAAAACCTTGTGAAGACTTACAGAAAACGTTTGACCTGTGTCATTGCCAACAAAGGGTATATAACAAAGTATTGAGAAACTTTTGTTATTGACCAAATACTTATTTTCCACCATAATTTGCAAATAAATTCATTAAAAATCCTACAATGTGATTTTCTAGATTTTTTTCTTCTAATTTTGTCTGTCATAGTTGACGTGTACCTATGATGAAAATTACAGGCCTCTCTCATCTTTTTAAGTGGGAGAACTTGCACAATTGGTGGCTGACTAAATACTTTTTTCCCCCACTGCATGTGGCCTGCAGTTACAGGACTAGGCTATGCCCACTATCAATTATTTTCAAATATTTAAATTCTCATTCTGTTTAATAGTGGCCTTTTGAACAACACACCACAGTGAGTAGGCTACGTATTTGACAACAAATCGTGAAAAACAGTAATCATGAAAAGTATGAGGAATAACAAAAGCAAGCACATTACCGCTTTTCCTCCAAAATTTCACAAGTGAAGTGAAAGGATAGAATGAATTTGCTTGTGGTGCACCACTCAAATGATATGTAACAACACAACCTGAGTGCATCGGACATGAAACAACAATACAAATATAACAACAGCACAACAAAACAGATTTCTTTTAAAATTGCAGGTGCCTTTTCATCGATGGTGCTGGTGCAACTAGTTAAAATGTACTGAACCAAAGCAGTGGCACGGGGGCAGTGGTGTAAAGTACTTAAGTAAAAATACTTTAAAGTACTACTTAAGTAGTTTTTTTGGGGTACCTGTACTTTACTTTACTATTTATATTTTTAACTACTTTTACTTAAGATACTTAAGTATATTTCAAACCAAATACTTTTCAACTTTTACTCAAGTATTATTTTACTGGGTGACTTTCACTTGAGTAATTTTCTATTAAGGTATCTTTACTTTTACATAAGTATGACAATTGAGTACTTTATCCACCACTAGGACACAGGAGCATGGCAAAACATTCCAATGGTGAAAACCATTAATCTTGAGGCGATGGGGGAGGGGGTGCAAAATGCAATCTGATAATTATTATATACAATTTACATATCTGTTTAATTTCTAGCTCAAAATATTACTAATTATGAAAAATGTCAAATTACCCAATGGATCATGATAATTTTCTGCTAAAAAAGTAGGTGTGCAAAAACATACTTTTGCACACCTATTTTAAAAGTGGGTCTGCAGCTGCTCCGTTTGCTCCATTGCTCAGGCGCCTATGCATCCGTTTTATTCAGGTCTTACCAGGGGGAAATCATCTGGGTCTATCCAGATGATGCTGAGGTCGGGGTTGTCAGTGTTCTCACGGGCCACCTCCTTCAGGATCTCCAGGAACTCAAAACCATCTGGGAAAAGGTCAAAGGTCAGGTACTGTAGTTTTTTTTTCCCCCCCTTCTACCTTTCTTCATTGAAAGACAATTCAATTCTCAACCTTTCAAACTATTTTCTAGCAATTTTATGACCTAACCTAACATAGCAGGCGTAGAAAGACGCATGAAAAACATAAGTTCCCACTTCCGGTTTTTTTTTTTCAACTTTACTTTCGCCTAGTGCAATGTACATTACCAGGGTCATCCTCCTCAGCAAAGGCAACAATGTGCTCTCCATCAATGTCATCCTCCTGAAGGACAGAAATAACAAAAGAACGAACGAACAAAAGAAAGAAAGAAAGAAAGAAAGAAAGAAAGAAAGAAAGAAAGAAAGAAAGAAAGAAAGAAAGAAAGAAAGAAAGAAAGAAGAAAGAAAGAAAGAAAGAAAGAAAGAAAGAAACAAAGAAACAAAGAAAGAAAGAAAGAAAGAAAGAAAGAAACAAGAAAGAAAGAAAGGGATGAGACTCCGGCCTACTGTACATCTCCATGAAAAATAGGCTTACTGTATAGTTCCGGTTCAATAGTGAGGAAGACATCTTACCCAGGTCTCGTACATGCTGTGGGGCTCGAGCTTCCTCAGAGTGGGCCTGGAATGAGAATGACAGCAGTCAATCAATCACATTTATTCATAAAGCCCTTTTTACATCAGGAGTACTTTTACAGCAACCCGGCCTAGACCCCAAGAGCAAGCAAGGAAAGGCAGAAGCAAGAGCACAGAGGCCAGGAAAAACAAGTAATGTAGTTTGAACCGCATTTTGTCTACATGTGTGAAGTAAATCACCTCATAACATACCATAGGACTTCTGGCTTTGCATTGTAGGTCAGCTGTCCTGTAGGGCCAAACTCACCTGTCATGCTCCTCGATGTAGTCTACAAGCTCAGCCTCAGTGTAGGGCTGTCCTGGGATGGTCACTGGCTCCTCCATGAAGGGTTCATAGAAGTCAACCTCGTTCAATTTCATCTTCAGCTTCTTGGCAATCTGGATGGGGACAAAGACCATCAGTTCGGCTGTCAAAAATCTGTGTTTGAACTTAAAAAGATGAGTTACCTCACTGACAAAAGTTGTTTCTTGTAATGTAACAAAAATTACTTTTTGTGGACTAAACTTGATTTCTTGAGTAGACTTAACTTAAAACGTGAAGGCATTGTGGTAACTTATGTTTACAATTTGAAACAACAAAAAATTATACAACGTACGAAGGGTCAGTTTGCAGTGGGTTCAATGGCAATTTTCCAGAATGGAGTTTAGAATATAGCTGAATCGAATTCAGCCCTCCGCGGTCGCATACCTTGGCGTCAAAGGTGGCGAAGAACTTGATGAAGGGGTGGAACTCCTCGGCAGCATCGTCATACTCAATGAAGTCTGTAAAAGAGAAAAATAACATTAACCTAATGTGAGATTCCTCTTGACATACTTGATAAGAGGAAATTGTCAGAATACAGCAGTACCTGTATGTGGTTCACAAAAATACTGTACAGTCGTGGTCAAAGGTTTTGAGACTGACAAGTATTGGTCTTCACAAAGTTCGCTGCTTATGAGATATTTTTGTCAGATGTTACTATGGTATACTGAAGTATAATTACAAGCATTCCATAAGTGTCAAAGGCTTTTATTGACAATTACATAAAGTTTATGCAAAGAGTCAATATTTGCAGTGTTGACCCTTCTTTTTCAAGACCTCTGCAATCCGCCCAGGCATGCTGTCAATTAATTTCTGGGCCACATCCTGACTGATGGCAGCCCATTCTTGCATAATCAATGCTTGGAGTTTGTCAGAATTTGTGGGTTTTTGTTTGTCCACCCACCTCTTGAGGATTGACCACAAGTTCTCAATGAGATTAAGGTCTGGGGAGTTTCCTGGCCATGGACCCAAAATGTTGATGTTTTGTTCCCCGCGCCACTTAGTTATCACTTTTGCCTTATGACAAGGCGCTCCATCATGCTGGAAAAGGCATTGGTCGTCACCAAACTGTTCTTGGATGGTTGGGAGAAGTTGCTCTCGGAGGATGTGTTGGTACCATTCTATATTCATGGCTGTGTTCTTAGGCAAAATTGTGAGTGAGCCCACTCCCTTGGCTGAGAAGCAACCCCACACGAATGGTCTCAGGATGCTTTACTGTTGGCATGACACAGGACTGATGGTAGAGCTCACCTTGTCTTCTCCGGACAAGGTGTTTTCCGGATGCCCCAAACAATCGGAAAGGGGATTCATCAGAGAAAATGAATTTACCCCAGTCCTCAGCAGTCCAATCCCTATACCTTTTGCAGAATATCAGTCTGTCCCTGATGTTTTTCCTGGAGAGAAGTGGCTTCTTTGCTGCCCTTCTTGACACCAGGCCATCCTCCAAAAGTATTTGCCTCACTGTACGTGCAGATGCACTCACACCTGCCTGCTGCCATTCCTGAGCAAGCTCTGCACTTGGTGGTGCCCCGATCCCGCAGCTGAATCAACTTTAGGAGATGGTCCTGGCGCTTGCTGGACTTTCTTGGGCACCCTGATGCCTTCTTCACAACAATTGAACCGCTCTCCTTGAAGTTCTTGATGATCCGATAAATGGTTGATTTAGGTGCAATCTTACTAGCAGCAATATCCTTGCCTGTGAAGCCCTTTTTGTGCAAAGCAATGATGATGGTATGTGTTTCTTTGCAGGTAACCATGGTTAACAGAGGAAGAACAATGATTTCAAGCACCACCCTCCTTTAGAAGTTTCCAGTCTGTTATTCTAACTCAATCAGCATGACAGAGTGATCTCCAGCCTTGTCCTCATCAACACTCTCACCTGTGTTAACGAGAGAATCAATGACATGATGGCAGCTGGTCCTTTTGTGGCAGGGCTGAAATGCAGTGGAAATGTTTTTTGGGGATTTAAGTTAATTTTCATGGCAAAGAGGGACTTTGCAATTAATTGCAATTCATCTGATCACTCTTCATGACATTCTGGAGTATATGCAAATTGCCATCATCAAAACTGAGGCAGCAGACTTTGTGAAAATTAGTATTTGTGTCATTCTCAAAACCTTTGACCACGACTGTAGGTGTTGTGACTAGCATCCCATTAGCCTGATCCCAGATCTGTTTGTGACAATTGTGTGACAATGACCACATGAGTTGGCATGACAGCACAAACAGTTATGGGACCAGGCTAGCTTTCCATATCCAAGCAACTTTAGTCATGATTTCTCTGGTCTTTCTTGCAGAGTTGATTGGCTGTACTTACGGGGGGATTTCTCACTCTTGAAGTAGCCGACCAGCTTGATGTCTTCATCAATATTATGGAAGCCCTTGAGCTCACGCTCATTATCAATGATCTCCACAGGGTCCTCAATCACCTGCAGAGTGGAAGAGACACAGGGAGAAGGAGGAGAGAGGTAAAGAAAGAGGGAGAAGAGGTGGGGAGATTTATGTGAGGAGCAGATTAGAAGAGATTTGACAATATAAACTCAGCAAAAAAAGAAACGTCCCTTTTTCAGGACCCTGTCTTTCAAAGATAATTCGTAAAAATCCAAATACCTTCACAGATCTTCATTGTAAAGGGTTTAAACACTGTGTCCCATGCTTGTTCAATGAACCATAAACAATTAATGAACATGCACCTGTGGAACGGTCGTTAAGACACTAACAGCTTACAGACGGTAGGCAATTAAGGTCATAGTTATGGTCCCTGCTCTCTGCGTGAACGTGCCTTAGGCATGCTGCAAGGAGGCATGAGGACTGCAGATGTGGCCAGGGCAATAAATTGCAATGTCCGTACTGTGAGACGCCTAAGACAGTGCGACAGAGAGACAGGACGGACAGCTGATCGTCCTCGCAGTGGCAGACCACATGTAACAACACCTGCACAGGATCGGTACATCCGAACATCACACCTGCGGGACAGGTACAGGATGGCAACAACAACAACTGCCCGAGTTACACCAGGAACACACAATCCCTCCATCAGTGCTCAGACTGTCCGCAATAGGCTGAGAGAGGCTGGACTGAGGGCTTGTAGGCCTGTTGTAAGGCAGGTCCTCACCAGACATCACCAGCAACAATGTCGCCTATGGGCACAAACCCACCGTCGCTGGACCAGACAGGACTGGCAAAAAGTGCTCTTCACTGACAAGTCGCGGTTTTGTCTCACCAGGGGTGATGGTCGGATTTGCGTTTATCGTCGAAGGAATGAGCGTTAGACTGAGGCCTGGAGCGGGATCGATTTGGAGGTGCAGGATCTGTCATGGTCTGGGGCGGTGTGTCACAGCATCATCGGACTGAGCTTGTTGTCATTGCAGGCAATCTCAACGCTGTTCGTTACAGGGAAGATATCCTCCTCCCTCATGTGGTACCCTTTCTGCAGGCTCATCCTGACATGACCCTCCAGCATGACAATGCCACCAGCCACACTGCTCGTTCTGTGCGTGATTTCCTACAAGACAGGAATGTCAGTGTTCTGCCATGGCCAGCGAAGAGCCCGGATCGCAATCCCATTGAGCACTTATGGGACCTGTTGGATCAGAGGGTGAGGGCTAGGGCCATTCCCCCCAGAAATGTCAGGGAACTTGCATGTGCCTTGGTGGAAGAGTGGGGTAACATCTCACAGCAAGAACTGTAAAATCTGGTGCAGTCCATGAGGAGGAGATGCAGATACAGCACCAGATACTGACTGTTACTTTTGACCCCCCCCCCCTTTGTTCAGGGACACGTTATTCAATTTCTGTTAGTCACATGTCTGTGGAACTTGTTCAGTTTATGTCTCAGTTGTTGAATCTTGTTATGTTCATACAAATATTTACACATGTTAAGTTTGCTGGAAATAGATTGTAATAATACATTGTATTAATCATTGTAATTATAATTTAGTGTTTACACAGAGTAAGAGCACTTTAGTAAAGTTACAACCAAATAACTGCAGCCAAAATAACTATATAATGTTATAACAGTTACTCACGTCATAGAGGAACTCCACCAGGGTGTCAGCGGCCAGCTCACCATCGTACTCAATTATCTCATTATCGACAAAGATATAGATGCTCTCCACCTCATCCAGACCTGGGATATAAGAGAAGGACAGGTTAGAGACTTTCTTTAGGGGCTAGGGACTAAGAAAGGGATGGGGGCTCGAGGCGGAATGGGACAGGTTTGAAACTCTGGTTAGGGGCTAGTGTTTAGCGGACATGTTAGGAACTCTGATTAGGGGCTAGTGTTTAGCGGACAGGTTAGGAAACTCTACTTAGGGGCTAGGGTTTATCGGACAGGTTAGGAACTCTGATTAGGGGCTAGTGTTTAGCGGACAGGTTAGGAACTCTGATTAGGGGCTAGTGTTTAGAAGACAGGTTAGGAAACTCTACTTAGGGGCTAGGGTTTATCGGACAGGTTAGGAACTCTGATTAGGGGCTTAAGTTTAGGGGGGACAGGTAAGGATTTCTAGCCCAAAAGGTCAGAAATAGGTGCTAGGGAAGCAATGGGGCAAGTTAGTTGGTAACTGCAAGCCATTCTTCTTGCAGAGAAATTTTTTCATTGGATATTGAATTTTGGCTTGAAACCCTACTTGGCCTTAAAATACAGTGCAAAAATTCTGAGTAAACCTGCAATGTGGTTTACCACGTTATCTGAGATTGAATGAATTCCGTCCAGCCAATGTTGTTTATTGCCTGAACCAAGTTCTACCCCTGTAGGCTTAACCATTTAAAGTTGCATGACTCATACTGATAAGTATATCAAAAAGGAGTCTTTGACCTCGATTGTAAAACAATGTATTTTTTTATATATACACTATATAATCATCATGTAAATGCCTCCCTCTTGAAGTAGAATGCCTTTATTGTTTTATTGCATACCGGTGACTGACCCTCTTAGACTTTTATTCGCCGAGGGCAGTGGCAGTAATAATAAGCCATTTAGCAGACGCTTTTATCCAAAGCGACTTACAGTCATGCGTGCATACATTATTTTGTGTATGGGTGGTCCCGGGGATCAAACCCACTACATTTTTACATTTACATTTTAGTCATTTAGCAGACGCTCTTATCCAGAGCGACTTACAGTTAGTGAATACATTTTATTTATTTTTTTATACTGGCCCCCCGTGGGAATCGAACCCACAACCCTGCCGTTGCAAACGCCCTCTATAAACAGCTACACCCCTGCCGGCCATTCCCTCCCCTACCCTGGACACGCTGGCCAATTGTGGCGCCGCCCATGAGTCCCCCCCCCGGTCGCGCCCTGGTTTTACAAGCGCCGTGCTCTACCACTGGCTACGAGACCCACGAGAAAAGGATAAGATATATATGAAAAGAGACAGAAATTATATAGAGAAGCAGCAAGTTAGTTAGACACTGAAAGTTAGAGACTTAGATCTCTGCTAGGGATGTCTCTAGACCAATACAGCTCTCTGGTGGCTGAATAATGTCCTGTGGGTGATCCTGAGGTATTTACTGTATGTGTCTGATCTCTAGGGCCCTGAGTATTTCCTGACCATGTATCATGACCATAACATTTCATGACTATAGCTACGGCCCTCAACCAGGGCCAGAAGAGGGCAGGAAAGATCAGGATTTCATGTGAAGTCAGACTGAAGCACTGACATTTGAATGATGATGAAAAGGGGGTGAAGAGATGAGTGAGGTCTTACCCAGCTTCTTGGCAACAGAGAGGTCCTTCTTCTCATCCACAAGGCCGAATCCAATGTCTTCATCGTCAATATCATCCAGAACCTGGGCTGCAAGCTGCAGAGGAGAGAAAGAAAGAAAGAAAGAAAGAAAGAAAGAAAGAAAGAAAGAAAGAAAGAAAGAAAGAAAGAAAGAAAGAAAGAAAGAAAGAAAGAAAGAAAGAAAGAAAGAAAGAAAGAAAGAGCAGTATTAGAGCCCACCTCCTAATGTCTGTTTATCGCTCCATTTCAAATCGATCACTAGCCCTATTTGTGCACTGAACGAACCTGAAAAGATCTGATAGCTATAAGCAATATCTTAGTAGCTCAACCTTGCCCTCTGATAGGCTAGGTGGAATCTTCACCATATTGCTTATACCTATCATATCATTTCAGATCTACACAAGTGCCTATAGGGACATGGGGTTGATTTAGAACTGAGTAGATATGTGTGTAAGCCAACACAGTCCCCCCCAAACCGCCTGTTCAGCTTGAAAGAGGTTCCTATTTGCTTAGTCTATGTTTATAGCTGTGCCGTCCCTCACTTAAGAATGAGGTGCTCAGCATTCCAGTCCAGTCCTAGACACATATGACCGTACTGCCCTCTGCTTGCCTGAATGAAAAATATATTTCCCACATACTCTATGTAAGGACCCCCACTCCCACCCCCCATCCATGGTATTTCCTCCTACTTTCAAGGCCTTAAAAGCAACTGTCCTAGAGCGCTGCCTTGCACTTTCTAAATCTGTGTGAAACTGGACCCATTGACGGACAGCTAGCCCGGCCAATGAAAGGGCAGAGAGATGAAAAGGGTGGGGGCGGGGGTGTGGGACATAGTGTGAGTGTGTCGATGGGAAAAGACGTGGTCACGACAGGTGCAGTGGGCAGCAGAAAGGAGAAGGGCTCACGCTTTGGGAACGTAAACTTGCATACTGTGTGGTTATTGCCTACATACGCAAACTCACTAACACATACTCGCAAACATACACTTGCACACAGAGAGACACACGTTTTGTTCTCCTTTTATCCACTAGACACCACCAATCTATGGCAATATATGAAACACAATTCATCAGTAGAAAAAACATTGTACTCTTTCATTGCAGAATAGGTATCATTTAAAAGCAGCCAATATCCATTAAAAGATGTTCATTAATATGTCCAGCTCAGATAACACCAACTCACGGAAACAGTCAGCTAGGCAATGTTTACACCCTTATGAGCCAGGTCATGGTTCGGCCCAAGCCTCAACTCCACCTCAGCCAAACCAGCCTTCCACAGCAACCCTGAATTTGGCAGCAAGATGGCCGCTAAACCAAGATGGCCACTATCATGTGGATTTGGTTTACAGTAAAGCCAATGGGACAAGTTCTGCTCTCTTGTCAAGCAATGCCTTGCGGCCAGCATCTCTGTTTTGCTTAAATTTGTTAAAGGAATGGGTGGGTGGATGGATGGATGGATGGATGGATGGATGGATGGATGGATGGATGGATGGATGGATGGATGGATGGATGGATGGATGGATGGATGGATGGATGGATGGATGGATGGATGGATGGATGGATGGATGGATGGATGGATGGATGGGTGGGTGGAAGGACGAACGAACAAACAAACAAATGAATGAAAGGATGAAGCGGTTAGACCATCTGTAACCTATATAATTTGTTTTGCTTACTTCTTTTTCAGCTATGGTGAGTATAGGACAGCTTTACTTGCAACATTTCATTCCCTACTGCAGTCCATAGATGCACAATCATAGTCTGCCTCCCAAATGGCAACCTATTTCCTATATCGTGCACTACTTTTGACCTGGGCCCTACGGCTCTGGTCAAATGTAGAGCAATAATTAGAGAATAGGGTGCCATTTGGGACATACACAGTCACAGAGCATTGAAAGAAAGCTGCTGAGGGGTTGCTGTAGGGCAGTAGCTTTCTAGGGGGTTGTTTTGAGGGCCTGAACATACCTGGTACGTCAGGGCGGCTGGACTGGTGAGTAACTGTAGAGAGAAGTCTTGCTTTAGCACATGACATTCACATATAGGCTGGGATTCAACTGAAGGGGCATCCTCGACAAGCACACTGCACTTGACTTTTAAAGGTCAAGTAATTTACACTTGAGCCAACATCCACAGACCGTGAATGCGATCTCCACGAACGTCTGGAAATGTCCTTTGTAAGGTGCATTGTCAACAATGCGTTTTTGATTGAACCTTAAACAAAGCATAACACAGAGTGTATGTGTCCCAATGTCCACACTAACATATTGTGCCTAGTCACTATATTACTTTTAATAGTGTGCTCTAATCTGGATACTTATCCACTACTATGCTTGGCAATTTTACTACGTCGTCATTCATTTTTGTATGTTAGTATATTTTTAAAAAATTTCTGTTTATTTTATTTTTTAGGGGGTAGATCAGCTTTAATATTGCAGATATATATTTTTTTCTCGCATATATATATACAGTGAGGGAAAAAAGTATTTGATCCCCTGCTGATTTTGTACATTTACCCACTGACAAAGACATGATCAGTCTATAATTCTAATAGTAGGTTTATTTGAACAGTGAGAGACAGAATATCAACAAAAAAATCCAGAAAAACGCATGTCAAAAATGTTATAAATTGATTTGCATTTTAATGAGGGAAATAAGTATTTGACCCCTCTGCAAAACATGACTTAATACTTGGTGGCAAAACCCTTGTTGGCAATCACAGAGGTCAGACGTTTCTTGTAGTTGGCCACCAGGTTTGCACACATCTCAGGAGGGATTTTGTCCCACTCCTCTTTGCAGATCTTCTCCAAGTCATTAAGTTTTCAAGCCTGATGTTTGGCAACTCGAACCTTCAGCTCCCTCCACAGATTTTCTATGGGATTAAGGTCTGGAGACTGGCTAGGCCACTCCAGGACCTTAATGTGCTTCTTCTTGAGCCACTCCTTTGTTGCCTTGGCCGTGTGTTTTGGGTCATTGTCATGCTGGAATACCCATCCACGACTCATTTTCAATGCCCTGGCTGAGGGAAGGAGGTTCTCACCCAAGATTTGACGGTACATGGCCCCATCCATAGTCCCTTTGATGCAGTGAAGTTGTCCTGTGCCCTTAGCATAAAAACACCCCCAAAGCATAATGTTTCCACCTCCATGGTTGATGGTGGGGATGGTGTTCTTGGGGTCATAGGCAGCATTCTTCCTCCTCCAAACACGGCGAGCTGAGTTGATGCCAAAGAGCTCCATTTTGGTCTCATCTGACCACAACACTTTCACCCAGTTCTCCTCTGAATCATTCAGATGTTCATTGGCAAACTTCAGACGGGGCATGTATATGTGCTTTCTTGAGCAGGGGGACCTTGCGGTCGCTGCAGGATTTCAGTCCTTCACGGTGTAGTGTGTTACCAATTGCTTTCTTGGTGACTATGGTCCCAGTTGCCTTGAGATCATTGACAAGATCCTCCCGTGTAGTTCTGGGCTGATTCCTCACCGTTCTCATGATCATTGCAACTCCATGAGGTGAGATCTTGCATGGAGCCCCAGGCCGAGGGAGATTGACAGTTCTTTTGTTTTTCTTCCATTTGCGAATAATCGCACCAACTGTTGTCACCTTCTCACCAAGCTGCTTGGCGATGGTCTTGTAGCCCATTCCAGCCTTGTGTAGGTCTACAATCTTGTCCCTGACATCCTTGGAGAGCTCTTTGGTCTTGGCCATGGTGGAGAGTTTGGAATCTGATTGATTGATTGCTTCTGTGGACAGGTGTCTTTTATACAGGTAACAAGCTGAGATTAGGAGCACTCCCTTTAAGAGTGTGCTCCTAATTTCAGCTCCTTACCTGTATAAAAGACATCTGGGAGCCAGAAATCTTTGTGATTGAGAGGGGGTCAAATACTTATTTCCCTCATTAAAATGCAAATCAATTTATAACATTTTTGACATGCGTTTTTCTGGATTTTGTTGTTGTTATTCTGTCTCTCACTGTTCAAATAAACCTACCATTAAAATTATAGACAGATCATTTCTTTGTCAGTGGGCAAACGTACAAAATCAGCAGGGGATCAAATACTTTTTCCCCCCCACTGTATATATATATATATATATATATATATATACACATACATACACATACATACATATACGCATATACATACATATATATATACATAAATATCCTTTAAAAATATATATATTTCCCTTTATTACTTTCCAACCCCACCATACCTTCCCTAATTGGAGTAAACTAGTGAACAACAATGCTTAGGCTTCTACTTCATGCTTATACATACTATATACATTTTATGGACACAGTCAATAATTATATTTTGTTTGTTTTTACTCCTGAACTTCCTCCGATCATTTTCATGATGTCCATCTGGTATGCTTCTATATGCCATATCTTTCTAACTGTGCTCTTTCACAAAAGCTCACAATATATAACCTATATACTTATTATGGACACAGCATGTCTTACACTAGTTATCTAGTTGTTATTGGTTGTTGTTATTAGTCCCATCCTTCAGCTCCATTCAACACCTCCCATCTATCTCTTAACACCATCCATATTGGATTTCTATTTGCCATATATTTTTCAACTGTACTGTGATGTTTTACAAAAGTTCTGAACCTTTCTATTCTCATTGTTTCTACAGTTTGTGAATTGCAAATACATTTTTTTGCTAAAAGTATTATTATATTATTGATCGATTGACTATTACTTTTCAGATCACCCAGCAGGGTCAGCTCCATGCAAATATTGCAATCCTTCAGCCATTCCTGGACCTGTGTCCAGAAACAAGCTACAAATGGACAGTACCAAAACAAATGATCTAATGATTCTGTCTCTTCACAGCCAAATCTGCAGAGCTGGGAAGATTGTATCCCCCATACAAATAACATTCTATTGTTAGCAAGAATTTTATATAATAATTTAAATTGAAAAATTCCAAGTTTTGAATCAGGCGTCGTTTTGCGTATCCGTTCATAAACACTATGCCATGGAATCGGTACGTCAAAAATCTCTTCCCAACTATTTTGCAATCTAAATGGGACGGCTGTCAATCTTTTGGTCCTTAAATGAAACTGGTAAACTTTTTTATTTATCACAATTTTCTTTAACCAATTATGTTCTATAATGCAAGGTCGACAGACAAGTTCCTTACTTTTTCCTCCTTCCACTTTCCTCTTCCATTTTTGCGGTAATGCTGCAATTATTTGGTTGTAATTTTGGGTAGAGCAGACATTTCCATATGTTTTTGTTAGCTGCATGTGCGACATAACTCCACCATTCCTACCGATAATATCATTTACGAAGATTATACCTTTTTTTTTTCTTCCAAAAATAACGTTTTTTTTTTCTGGAGGATTAAATTGAAATAGCAACCAACTTTCTATGGCTTGTTTTAGAAATAGTGATATTTGGGAGATTATTTCCTTTTCAAATACCTGAAAGTCAGGGGTTGTAATCTGAATAAAGGGAAAAATTCCCTTCTTGAACATTGGGTGAGACAATCTTACTAGTTTGCTAGAGAACCAGTTCGGATTTAAGTATAATTTTTGTATGACTGAAGCTTTTAGTGATAGGTCTAATGCTTTAATATTTAATAATTTCTGTCCTCCTAATTCATATTAATTATATAAACAGGCCCGTAAAAAAATGTCTGGCTTGTCGTTCCAAATAAAATGGACTATTTTTTTCTCATATAATTTTAAAAACTGTTCGCTAGGCGTAGGCAAGACCACAAGCAAATAGGTAAACTGGGATAATACTAAAGAGTTCATCAGGGTGATTTTTCCACAAATTGAAAGGTATTGACCTTTCCATGGTAGCATGATCTTATCTATTTTTGCTAACTTTCTATACATTTTCTGGGGAGTGAGACCATTTATTTCATTTGGGATATGTATTCCGAGTATATCCACATCACCATCAGACCATTTTATTGGTAAACTACATGGTAATGTAAAAATTGTATTTTTTAGTGATCCAATGCGCAATATAGTACATTTATCATAATTTGGTTGTAATCCAGAGAGGTTAGAAAATGTATCTAGATCCTCTATGAGGCTGTGGAGGGATTCAATTTGCGGATTTAAAAGAAAACATGAATCATCAGCGTACAATGACACCTTTGTTTTTAAGCCCTGGATTTCTAATCCCTTGATATTATTGTTGGATCTGATTTTAATAGCTAACATCTCAATGGCAATAATAAATAGATATGCCGATAGTGGACAACCTTGTTTCACTCCTCTTGACAGTTTAAAACTTTCAGAGAAATAGCCATTATTTACTATTTTACACCTAGGGTTACTATACATGATTTTAACCCAATTTATAAGAGATGGTCCAAAATTGAAATGCTCCAGGCATTTATATATAAACCCCAGTCGTACTTTATCAAATGTAGTATGTTAGTTGCACCCCCTTTTGCCCTCAGAATAGCCTCAATTCGTCAGGGCATGGACTCTACAAGGTGTCGAAAGCGTTCCACAGGGATGCTGTCCCATGTTGACTCCATTGCTTCCCACAGTTGGGTCAAGTTGGCTGGATGTCCTTTGGGTGTTGGACCATTCTTGATACAAACGGGAAACTGTTGAGCATGAAAAATCCAGCAGCATTGCAGTTCTTGACGCACTCAAACCGGTGCGCCTGGCACAAACTACCATACCCAGTTTAAAGGCACTTAAATCTTTTGTCTTGCCAATTCACCCTCTGAATGGCACACACGCACAATCCATGTCTCAGTTGTCTCAAGGCTTAAAAATCCTTCTTTAACTTGTCTCCTCCCCTTCAGCTACACTGATTGAAGTGGATTTAACAAGTGACATCATAAAGTGATAATAGCTTTCTACTGGATTCAACTAGACAATCTATGTCATGGAAAGAGCAAGTTTCCTAATGTTTTGTACACTCAGTGTATATTAGGACATTTGGTCATTACATCACAGGACAGTATATAGATTGCAGAATACTTCCACCATACAGGACAGTCAATAGAACACAGAGATGCTGACAGGTCAAGACGCAGAGTACAGAACAATCCAACTTCAACAGACAACTGAGATTCAGAATAAGCACAACTACTCTTTCAACAACATACTGAAAGGCTATAGTTCAGGGCCTGTATTCACAAAGTATTTGCCCTCCTAAGGACAAAGTGCAGTTTTGATTGGTGGCGTTTAAAAAAAAGGATTTACTTTTTATTGTATTTTTAGTCTCTTATCTCTTGTAACTTTAAATGCAACGAATTGCTTATCAAAGTAGATCAGTTCTCATAAACCCATTAATCTTGAAAAAAGTCCTATCCCCGCCCTTCTGCCACCGCGAACGCGGCAGTGCATTGCATCCTAGTAGCATGCATGAGCTACCCACCGACTCACAGTGGTGAGTTTGAAATAAATATCGCCAGTAGTAAGTTACTTTGGAGTTGCTAGCATGTGTGGTCTCATGGTGAGGGAAAGGGGCAACTGCAGTTCAACTGCTTGTCAGTAGCAGAACAAATTTAAAACAAGTGAAGACTAGCTTGTTTTGACAGCATAGCCTCGCTAACTAGCTGATTCATCCAGCCCACATTAGCGATGATTAGCTGATATAGCCCACTCCAGTAGTGGTTCAAGCAAAGATACACTACATGACCAAAAGCATGTGGACACCTGCTCGTCGCACATCTAATTTCTAAATCATGGGCATTAAGTTGGTACCCCCTTTGCTGCTATAACAACCTCCACTCTTCTGGGAAGGCTTTCCACTAGATGTTGGAACATTGGTGTGGGAACTTGCTTCCATTCAGCCACAAGAGCATTAGTGAGGTCGGGCACCCATGTTGGGTGATTAGGCCTGGCTTTCAGTCGGCGTTCCAATTCATCCCAAAGGTGTTCAATGGGGTTGAGGTCAGGGCTCTGTGCAGGCCAGTCAAGTTCTTCCACACCTATCTCGACAAACCATTTCTGTATGGACCTCGCTTTGTGCACGGGGGCATTGTCATGCTGAAACAGGAAAGGGCCTTCCCCAAACTGTTGCCACAAAGTTGGAAGCACAGAATCATCTAGAATGTCATTGTATGCTGTAGCTTTAAGATTTCCCTTCACTGGAACTAAGGGGCCTAACCATGAAAAACAGCCCCAGACCATCATTCCTCCTCTACCAAACTTTACAGTTGGCACTATGCATTCGGGCAGGTAGCGTTCTCCTGGCATCCGCCAAACCCAGATTTGTCTGTCGGACTGCCAGATGGTGAAGCATGATTCATCACTCCAGAGAATGTGTTTCCACTGCTCCAGAGTCCAATGGCGGCGAACTTTACACCATTCCAGCCGATGCTTGGCATTGCGCATGGTGATCTTAGGCTTATGTGCGGCTGCTCGGCCATGGAAACCCATTTCATGAAGCTCCCGACGAACAGTTCTTGTGCTGACGTTGCTTCCAGAGGCAGTTTGTGAGTGTTGCAACCGAGGACAGACCATTTTTATGCATTACGCGCTTCAGCACATGGCAGTCCCGTTCTGTGAGCTTGTGTGGCCTACCACTTTGCGGCTGAGCTGTTGTTACTCCTAGACATTTCCACTTCACAATAACAGCACTTACAGTTGACCGGGGCAGCTCTAGCAGGGCAGAAATTTCACAAGCTGACTTGTTGGAAAGGTGGCATCCTATGACAGTGCCACGTTGAAAGTCACTGAGCTCTACATTATGGGCCATTCTACTGCCAATGTTTGTCTATGGAGATTGCATGGCTGTGTGCTCGATTTTATACACCTGTCAGCAATGGGTGTGTCTGAAATAGCCAAATCCACTAATTTGAAGGGGTGTCCACATACTAGTGTACTAAAGGTCTGTCGTCGTCCCCCCCCCCCCCCCCCCCCCCCCCCCCACACAGCCCACTCCAACTTCTCCTCCTCCATCACAGGCTACCCATCCGATACCTCCAAGGCACTTCCATATTAGTCTGAGCAGGGGTATTTATAAGAGAGACTGAGACTGAACTGAACTGGCGTTGGGGTGGGGAGCTGAGCAAGACAGCCCTACAGCTATATAAGGCCTCCTGGGGAGCTCAGAGAGAGACCGGGGAAAACGTGAAGGGGTGGGAGGGAAGGAGGGAGGGAGGAGAAGGGAGAGGAAGTGGGAGGAGAAGGGAGAGAAAGAGGGAGGAAAAGGGAGAGAAAGACGAAGGAGAAGGGAGGGAGGGAGGGAGGGAGGGAGGGAGGGAGGGAGGGAGGGAGGGAGGGAGGGAGGGAGGGAGGGAGGGGAAAGAGACCGGAGAAGATGTGAAGCTTTGATACATATGGGAGGGGGGAGAGATAGAAGGAGGGAGGAGAAGGGAGGGAGAGGGATAGCTAATACACGACTAACATTCACTCTAGTCGGTCAGACTATCAATCATCTCCTCACAGAGAGATCAGTCTCACTTTCTGTTTCTCTCTGACTGCAGCTTCTATCTAACTCATTGTGACCTCTCTCTTTAGCACTCTCTTTAGCACTGTGACTTCTTGGCTCCCTCTCTCACTGTCCAGACACAGATGAGAGGTGTTGGCTGATGGGACCAAAGGGAAAAGATGACGTGGTAGAAGTTCCTCCTAACCGCAGATCTTGGATCAGATTACCCAACCTTCAATCATACCAAGATGGTTGAAGAAGTGTCAGCCTCTGTATCAATGTTTAGAGGCAACCTCTTTCATATTCTATGGTTGAATGAGGGACGGACTAAGTGCATAGAAAACACACAGCTAGCACAGTAGATCCGTAATTTCCTGTAAATCGTGCATTCATGTCATGTCCATAAACTAAAATAACTAATGGTTACAGTACAGCTATAGCTCTATCAGGTCACCTCAACCTTGCTGTGTGGCAGTGCAGTAAAACTGTTCTGGAAGCTGTATAGTATCTTTATCGCTGCCAATGTGGTTGTAAGTGCACGTTGTTCGATGAGTCACCACACATCTGTGTGTGCGTCACCTCTGAGCCACTCACGGGGATAGTCTCTATGATGATGGGGGGGGGGGTTATAGGTTGTGTGTGGAAATGGCTGCATGTGCATCCTTCCCTGTTTCTATGACTACTGTTGCAACGTTTCCCAGCTTTATTCAAATACAAATCATCCTCATCATTCAAACATAGAAACACCATCTCTGCAGCTATAACATCCAATGATTTTACCAAGATGTAGAATCTCTCATTTGGTCACCATGTTTGTTTTCTCACTCCAACTCAACTTGTCGTATGTCAGTGCTTCTCTACTCAACGTCAGTTCAACTTCACATCCCAAATATCACAAAGGCTTTTCACAATTCAAAAGAAGGCCTGGAGCCTTCCAGTTCTATCGTATCCGCTTCTAGCTATAATGTCAATAATTAATGCATGTAACTGTAAAACACCAGTGTGTGTGTGTTCGTGTGTGATGATGTAGCTTTAACACACCAGGGCATCCCTACAGCCTACACCAACATGTTACAACAACACTGAGCAGGGTGGGCATTAAAGAGTTAAACACCAGATGTATACACGTTGCTGAGTCGCATACCGTAGGTGTGGCTAAAAGAAGTGCCCTGAATAGACATAGATGTAATAAAAATGCTTTCCTGGTATGAAATATGTGATTTCTGAAACTTTTATTTCTGGTCAAAAGTGCTGCCCCTGTTCTTTCTAGTAGGTAGTGGGTCTTGATGATTGTAACGGTCTTAGCCAGATGTAGGCTATTTTTGTATTAGGCCTATCTCATTCCACTGGGGAATTCAAATGAATTGAAATTTACAGAATGCACCTTTAATAGCCTATCATTCCAGTTTTACATGATATTGAATGTCCATTCCAAATCATATCGGACTTCACACCAGCACATACTACAGTGTCTCCTGGTAGATAGCTGAGGAGTGCAGATATGAGTCTGGAGGAGTGACTCATGCTCCCTATTTGAGCTCCATCGCAAATATGTCACACACGAAACCAGCCAACCAGCCAATGTTCTCCTCGCGTCACACATCACTCTGCAGGTTCAGCTGCTGTTTAGCCAAGCGGGATAAATCAATCAGGGAGAACAGTGAGGCTTTGTGGCAAAGCTTTATCAGAAACTGTCTATTCTGCTGGAGTACATCATTCTGGCTGTTTTACCTGGACGTCAGAAGCAGAACACCTAAGATGTCAAATAATGCACAGAACTGGGGTAAACTATACTACTTATTGCTAGGACCATCAGTTTTTCCAGACCACATGACCTGAACTGCAAAAACTCCAGGACCTACAATACTACTTAGAAATACAGATCCTTTATTTACCAACCTGTACTGTATATTGTGTATCACTCCAAACGTGCTCAACACAGGAGGTTGGTGCCACCTTAATTGGGGAGGACGGGCTCTTGGTAATGGCTGGAGCAGAATGGGTGGAATACTATCAAATACATCAAACACATGGTTTCCATGTAATTTGATGTCATTCCATTTACTCCGTTCCAGCCATTATAATGAGCCGTCCTCCCCTCAGCAGGCTCCACTGGTGCTCAAGATAGTTTACATATTAAGCTAAAGACATTACCACATGATACTCCAAAGAACAGGTGTTTCTAATGTTTACACTTCAAAGTAACCATGACACCAACGACTGACAACCCTTACACCCTTTCCTACTTTGGCTCTCTCTCTAGTTCTAGTTTGAGGGAATAAAACAAGAAATGTAAATACAAAAATGTGAGTTTTAAACTTTAACCAGGCACTTTTTTGCTCCCTTGTCTTTTCGTGTGTGTGTGTGTGTGTGTGTGTGTGTGTGTGTGTGTGTGTGTGTGTGTGTGTGTTTGCGTGTTTGCGTGCGTGCGTGCATGCATGCATGCAGAGATGGGCAAAAGATACATACAAATATATATTGTTAGAAATACAAGATATTCTAAAGACTAGTGTATCAAACTAAAATACAAATTACATACAATTACAGGTAGGTTGAGGTATCAGAAATAATGCCCCTCTCTGCGTGCGCACCGTTTTCCCTGACATTACCTCTCCTATGAATAAGATATAAAAATACATTCCAACATCCAGTAGGCCTACGGAGAGAGCGGAGGGTCATCTATTAATCATTAGGCACAACATGAAGTACAGGCTATTATAAAACAACAGCAACGTTGTGTGTGTGCGTGCATGCATGTGTGTGTGTCCTCTAGAGTCTAGGCCTTACAGTACAAACACAATGGATAACAGTGTGTCACGTTGCCTGTCACTTGTGACTAAATCTGGGAACCACAACCTCAATGAACCTGCACTGAGGTCAAATCCACCTCATAGAAGCACAACAATTGAAATGTACTCTCTTTGAGACATTAAAGAGATATCTAGGCTTTAATGTCCAATATTCTTCTGAATTCTACCTCAGATTCTACAAATGATATTCAGACAGCAGATTATATTCACCCAGACATTCACTGAATGGTCCTAAAATTAAAAAATATATATATATATATTCCAGAGCAGACAGTAGAAATCAACTAAAGCTCAGCAACCTAGTCGCCACCATCAACTGCACCATGTGTTAGTAGGTGGGTTAAATGTAGCTCCACACAGACAGAGAGAGAGCAGCCAGACGGACGGTTCTCTGGCTTCATCAGAGACTATTTTGGCAAGGCTTTGGAGACTTGCTGAGAAGTACAGTACAGAACCCCCATAGCTGTCTGCTACAGGCTGCAGCCAGCCAACGCTGCAGAATCTGTGTGTGTGTGTGTGTGTGTGTGTGTGTGTGTGTGTGTGTGTGTGTGTGTGTGTCCAGAATCTGGGGATAGGAGTCTGATTATCTACTAGGTTAGAAAACTGGGGTGTGCTGTAGTGCAGTGGGAAAACTGACTGTTGATAGGATGGATGGGGATAGAGACTTCATAAGGGCCTGAGACCAATATCCTGCTCTTTCTTTTTTAGCGCTGAACAGATATTGTACAAATCGCTAGGACTGGGGTGTAGTGCAGGGATGTTTACAGAATTGTATCATGTTTATGCAGTGCTGTGTGATCATTGGATGGTGTGAGTTTAACACAGTTGCTTCCGTCCCTCTCCTTGCCCAAACCTGGACTCGAACCAGGGACCCTCTGAACATATTGACAACAGTCACCCACGAAGCATCGTTACCTATTGCTCCACTAAAGCTATGGCCCTTGCAGGGCAAGGGAAACAACTACTTCAAGGTCTCAGAGCGAATGACATCACTGAACGCTACTAGCACGCACCGCTAACTAGCTAGCCATTTCACATCGGTTACATAAGTATAATGATCAAGTATATAGAGTGCCATTTGAGATGCATCCATAGTTTCTTTATGGGTTGGTTGGTGAGGATAGTACAAGGGTCACTTGGCATTACGTAAACACAGTAATGTCCCCATAGGATAACCAATTTTGGTTCCAGGTAGAACCCTTTTGGATTCCTTATAGAACCAAAAGGCTTCTACCTGGATCCAAAAATGGTTATTCAAAGGGTTCTCCTATCGGGACAGCCAAAGGGGGGATGCATGCCAGCAAAGCCACAACACAACACTAAACAATACATTAATTGCACTATAACAGTGACAAATGGTGCCCACAAACTGTTAGGGCCTACATAAAGCTGTCCCAACAGCAGAGTCCCAACACCTTACCACTGCTACACCTGGCTATCAGCGGAGCCTTGTCTGGCAGTGAAACAGTTCATTCAGCCTCATTAACTGCCTTTTTAAAAAACATAGCTGATATGGCTGGATAGTCCCGTGTAGCTTAGTTGGTAGAGCATGGCGTTTGCAACACCAGGGTTGTGGGTTCGTTTCCCACGAGGGACCAGTATGAACAAATAAAAAATAAAAAAAATGTATGCACTCACTAACTGTAAGTCGCTCTGGATAAGAGCGTCTGCTAAATGACTAAAATGTAAATGTAATGGCTGACTTGCTTAAACAAATGTTTCTACTGACAGTTGAGATGTACAAACTATGGCATAAGGGGACGACAAGCGGATAAGAGGCAATCCGTAATTTCGATTAAGACATTAATGACCGAGCTAGGACGGACATAGTCAATATAACTATTTGTTCAGCACTTTTGAAATGTACAGTGACAGAATTCAAAACAAGGGCCGTTCTTACAGTGTTCTCCCTGTACACCAATTCAGATCCGTAGGATAAATAAAGGGGGCACATAAGCAGACAATTAAAGCTCTTACAATATTCAATGATTACATTTCTCTAAAACAGGTTATAGGCTACATGTGTACCACTAAGTCAGAACAGTTGGTGAAATTAAGAGGGGCAAATAGACCAAATTATTAGGGTGAGGCACATGGGCTACTAACAACTTACTACACAACATACACTTAGCATTACTTTCTTAGCTACAGTATACATATCGCCCTGGCATATTACATCATTAATGCAGCAGAATACAATACATTTCTGGACTCACCTTGTTGTGCTGTGCTCACTTGAACAGGAAGGTGGCGCGGCGGTCCTTCGTGGGCAAATTTTGTCATCAAACTTTGTCATCAAAGTCTGGCATTCTCTGGATTTATGGTGCTTTCAAGACAACTGGGAACTCGGGGAAAAAAACTAGGTCGAATCATGATGACTTCAGTGATCTTCAGGTCGTAGCTCTAGAAAGAGGCCTGAGTTCCTGATTTACAATTCTGAGTTGGATGACTGTTCAAAACGTATTTTCCCAGTCGGAGCTCGGTTTTTCCCGACTTCCCAGTTCTCTTGAACTCACTGAAGTCAGATTTCCCAGTTCCGAGTTAACAGTTGTTTTGAGCGCGGCAGAAATCATGCTGGATTGACAGCATGGCCAATGTTGAATGTTTATCATTTTAAGCTTGGAAAAGAGACCCTTAAAACTAGACATGGGACCACACAGCCACTCCACTGAATAGCAGGCTAGTGATTGCTTTGCAATGCTTGCAGTTAGCCACTGATTCCTTCCAAACCACTCATTGTTGAATTTGCGATTTCCAACTTGTTGTGTAATGTTTATGTCCAATGGCCGATGAGCACCGATACGTTTTATCTATAATTTCTCTTCATATGACAAGGATTAAAAAGGATTTGCCAGTAGATTGTCGACTTGATTCATGATGACGACTGCTAGCTAATATTTAGAAAATATGATGTTGACATGATCAGTCCAATCAAAGCTACTGTAGATATAACGTGATTTGACGTCATTTTATCTGTGGCCAATGACCTTGAGCCTTCTTGGATGGGCACTTCTAATGTAACTCTATGGCAGCGCCCAACGGACTTGAATTTTCGAGCTCTACCCTTAGATTTGGCGGTCACGTAGTGTCCCCATGAGTGACAGAACACTGAGCCAATCACGGCGCAACTAAAGAACATTACCAACCCCTACGCTCCGTATTTTCCACTGGCTGCCCCACTACCACAGAAAGCACTGAGCTAGGCTGAAACAACTACATTTTGGAGCTGCCTTACTCAAGAAAGCAAAAAAGAGACCATGTTTGTATGCGGCTGTGTTGACTCAATGATACATATTTTTATTGTTTTACATTGTTTGCAAACTGGCTCTGCCACACCTGCCCTGAATGACGGGTCGCCACTGCATACCTCTCCTGTATACGGCTAATTTCCAGACATGGGTTCTAATATTATTTTTAATAATTTTAAATGTTTTAGCTGCACTTGATTGAGCTTGCCTGGGGCACAGAAACCAATAGAATCGTCCCAAAAGTGAAAACCTTCTACCCCGCCAACCTGGTGGGCACTCAAGACAAATGCTCAAGGTAAACACACACACACAGGGAGGAGCTATAGTTCTAGAAGTTCTAAAATGCTCATACTAAATAACAAGATATTCATAAAGTTGTTGTTGTTCTGTCACATGTTGTCACATGGGATGAAGCAAAAACAACCACACATACAGTGGGGAGAACAAGTATTTGATACACTGCCGATTTTGCAGGTTTTCCTACTTACAAAGCATGTAGAGGTCTGTAATTTTTATCATAGGTACACTTCAACTATGAGAGACGGAATCTAAAACAAAAATCCAAAAAATCACATTGTATGATTTTTAAGTAATTAATTTGCATTTTATTGCATGACATAAGTATTTGATCACCTACCAACCAGTAAGAATTCCGGCTCTCACAGACCTGTTAGTTTTTCTTTAAGAAGCCCTCCTGTTCTCCACTCATTACCTTTATTAACTGCACCTGTTTGAACTCGTTACCTGTATAAAAGACACCTGTCCACACACTCAATCAAACAGACTCCAACCTCTCCACAATGGCCAAGACCAGAGAGCTGTGTAAGGACATCAGGGATAAAATTGAAGACCTGCACAAGGCTGGGATGGGCTACAGGACAATAGGCAAGCATCTTAGTGAGAAGGCAACAACTGTTGGCGCAATTATTAGAAAATGGAAGAAGTTCAAGATGACGGTCAATCACCCTCGGTCTGGGGTTCCATGCAAGATCTCACCTCGTGGGGCATCAATGATCATGAGGAAGGTGAGGGATCAGCCCAGAACTACACGGCAGGACCTGGTCAATGACCTGACGAGAGCTGGGACCACAGTCTCAAAGAAAACCATTAGTAACACACTACGCTGTCATGGATTAAAATCCTGCAGCGCACGCAAGGTCCCCCTGCTCAAGCCAGCGCATGTCCAGGCCCGTCTGAAGTTTGCCAATGACCATCTGGATGATCCAGAGAAGGAATGGGAGAAGGTCATGTGGTCTGATGAGACTAAAATAGAGCTTTTTGGTCTAAATTCCACTCGCCGTGTTTGGAGGAAGAAGAAGGATGAGTACAACCCCAAGAACACCATCCCAACCGTGAAACATGGAGGTGGAAACACCATTCTTTGGGGATGCTTTTCTGCAAAGGGGACAGGACAACTGCACCGTATTGAGGGGAGGATGGATGGGGCCATGTATCGCAAGATCTTGGCCAACAACCTCCTTCCCTCAGTAAGAGCATTGAAGATGGGTCGTGGCTGGGTCTTCCAGCATGACAACGACCTGAAACACACAGCCAGGGCAATTAAGGAGTGGCTCCATAAGAAGCATCTCAAGGTCCTGGAGTGGCCTAGCCAGTCTCCAGACCTGAACCCAATAGAAAATCTTTGGAGGGAGCTGAAAGTCCGTATTGCCCAGCGACAGCCCCGAAACCTGAAGGATCTGGAGAAGGTCTGTATGGAGGAGTGGGCCAAAATCCCTGCTGCAGTGTGTGCAAACCTGGTCAGGAAACGTATGATCTCTGTAATTGCAAACAAAGGTTTCTGTACCAAATATTAAGTTCTGCTTTTCTGATGTATCAAATACTTATGTCATGCAATAAAATGCAAATTAATTACTTAAAAATCATACAATGTGATTTTTTGGATTTTTGTTTTAGATTCCGTCTCTCATAGTTGAAGTGTACCTATGATAAAAATTACAGACCTCTACATGCTTTGTAAGTAGGAAAACCTGCAAAATCGGCAGTGTATCAAATACTTGTTCTCCCCACTGTACACATACACATACACACACACATCAATAAATAATTATCTGTGTGAGTGTTTTTCCACCTTGCGGTATCATAGCCCCACAATTGCCACTGTGGCTGTGATTAATGAATGTGCGTCTCAATAACTTTAACTATCTTTCTATCCACGTGCCATTTCCTCGAAGACAAGGACCTGGCAAGACACGACGGGTGGAAGCAAGGGGGAAATTATATCCTGTCCTTCCAGCTATCTGTAGGACCAGTTTTTCATGGCCATGTCACCTTACCACTATAAAACTTGAGCCCTAGCCTAGAGTTCTCCCTATAACTAGGGAGTGTTTCACTAAGTTTTTTTCCATAGCTATTTCCAGAATTGTTCCTGGTCAGGTAAAACTCATATTCCTAGTTATAAGCCATAGAGGAGACAAGGAAAGGAAGCCATTTTATATTGAGGAACACAGTCTTTGTTCTCTTCACTACTAAGATAATCAGATGTTACATTTTGGCTTGGAGTGGGAGAAGTCTGTATCAGTCAGTTCATGACTGATGAGACTGGGTTGCGGTCATGGTCAGAGTCAGAACCAATGAGGCTATGGTCTCCTGGCTGGCTGGCTGACTAACTGACTGACTGGCTGGCTGTGGTCTCCTGGCTGGCTGGCTGCTAACTAACTGACTGACTGGCTGGCTGTGGTCTCCAAGCTGGCTGGCTGGCACAGAGATGCCATGCTTTGGTAGATCCTTTCAACAAGCTCTTGATCCATTCACTGATTGACTAAGCTCATGGTCTGGACTTGGTCCATGCTGTCCTGTGGATCTGTTAATTCCAAAGTGCCATCAGAGGAAAGGCATTTATGGAGCGTACAGTCAGGAAGTAGAGGGCTATAAGGAAGAGCAGGACCGTGGAACTGTGTTAACATTAAATTATCACAATTAAGAGTAATGGATTGAATAGAATATAGACATCGCAAACTATGAAGCCCAAGACACACAGTTTATTGACCTTCACAATATCTTAACCATAGGATACTTTATCCTTTGTAACATTTTAATCATCCACAAATGTTGTACTCAACCACTTTCAAAACCTTTTTAATTTCTTAGTTAGTAACTCTGGGCTTGCATTATATCGCTACTCTCATGAGAACTGGCAGTAATAAAAGTATTGTTATTGTTGCTGCTGCCTAATGAGCAGTGATGATGTTATTTTGCATCAACAGCATGGCGCCAGGAGAGTGACGCGGTTGCCATGAAGACAGTCTGAACCTTCAGCTCAATACAACAGGGAATGTCTATTCCACATGGTACTGTAGAAGATGCAGCTAGTAATGCAAGGAAGATGTGGAGGAACTAGCTAATGTACTATTATCCACAGGTAGCTCCAGGGGTGGCCAATCAATATATGTAGTTCTGTCCAAATGTATGTAGTTCTGTCCTTGTGCTGTTCTTTTCTATTAATGTTCTGTATTATGTCATGTTTCATGTTTTGTGTGGACCCCAGGAAGAGTTGCTGCTGCTTTTGCAACAGCTAATGGGGATCCTAATAAAATACCTAAATACCTAATATCAGCCATTGAGGGCCACAGTGTGTAAAGGTTTTTGAGCTGAATTAAATGTAAAAGGCTTTGAAAATAAAAAAGCTTGCGGTACGCTCACTCAGTGCTCCATTGACATTTCACAGAGATTCGCTTGTTTTTGTGAGAAATCTTCGAAAAAGAACAGGAATTTTGCAATAATATGAAAAGCGTATACTAAAATATGTCATGTCTCAAAATCGATATCTATCTTACCGCTATATTGTTTTATGTACTGTGGATACAAGAAGAAAGATGATGAGTACAACAGGAAAGTGAGACTGTCAGTAGCCATTATTCTCTCACAGTATCCAGTCTAGATGACATGATGCTGTGTAATTTTCCTGATTTTTGACCACTTGTTGCTCTCTATTGATTTAGCCGACCCTAATTCTGGCCATCCTACAAGGGTAAAAACTCCAATAGCTTTTGAACAGATCGTGATAGAGACATTGGACCATTGGTTTTATTGGAGGATTGTCTACACAGTTAACATAGTATTTTACCTGTTGGTCAAAATATGCGTTTTTGATTGGACACCCTACAGTCACCATGCTCTACTACTGTTTGCAGGGTAGGGACTGTGAGCTTTAAGCTCGCTGTCCCTTATCCCATTTCATGTCAGGCCTGCTCCACCCCTCTCCCAAAGAAGAGTAAAAACTACACCCCAGTTTGACCCAAGAAAACTTAGCATTTGGACTACGGATAGATGCATCTATTTTTCACTGTTCCCCTCTTCAATGCCAGTGAGCCATAAAGGCTTAACTGCCTGCTGCCCCCCATTCAAAAACATGTAGAACCCGGTGGCCCGCTGCCCCCTTTAGCCAGTATCCCATTCAGCCTATAAGGTTGACCCTTGACCTTTCGCCTTACAGTACATTCGCTCCTCAGGCTTTGGGTTACAGTCTCTTTACTAACCTCTGCTACTCCCTGCCTCCCCAACATAGATACATGGTACAGGCTAGCTTACAGTCCCTACCCTTCACCCATAGGTAGAGCAATGGTGGCCAATATCAGCCATGGAGAATTAGGTGGACAATGACTGAAAATACATTATAAGATTTGTTGTTGCAGAGTTATCTGATGTCTGGTATCCCAACGTTCTACGTGTTCCTCTTATTGGGTATGATCCAGAGGTAGCCTACTTGTCTGGTCAAATTTAAGACATAAGAATCCCATTGTGAAACTGATAAGCGTGCAGAACCATGTTGTATATAGGTACTTTACTATGCTTACTGTAGGTGCCTCAGGCGATAATTAGTGAGGGTTCAGCATATTAAGTCTTTTACTTTTAATGCAATCCTTGGGACTTGGATGTGTATACACAGTAGACACTGCAACACTAAAATGCCCAGCCAGGCAGACATAGATATATTTTCATAAAATGTTACACATATTCAAGTACAGCAATGCTACACAGTCTAGATGTGACTCATAGCCTAAATCTACACAGAATCCACCATAGTGTAGTGTGCTAATGCTAGCTTAGCTAGCATGTAAATAAAAATATATGTTTTATTGTCACATACACCAGATAGGTGCAGTGACATATGTTGTTTTACAGGGTCAGCCATAGATATATGGTGCCCCTGGAGGAAATTAGGGTTAAGTGCCTTGCTCAAGGGCACATCGACAGATTTTTCACCTTGTCGGCTCAATTACATTGTGCATGTTCATTTATACAGTAACTATTATTTAACATGGGAGTCACCTGGGATTTGAACTCTCAACCTTTTGGTTCACGGCATTCCAATCTTGCTGCTACGCCACCATGTCTGTGTCAGTGACTGGATTCACCTGTATTGCTACACTTTGCACTTTGAATTAAATCTCAGCTTGGTTAAAAGTACACTCAAGAAAAATGATTTGATTTATAATAGTGATAAAGGAGTAACATTAAAAGAGAGTAAAATGCCCCACCAACATTAGACAACTATACAGAAAACCCTAACATTTCTGAAATAAATAAATCAAATTATTGATAGGAGAATAGTCAGATTAACTGATAACTGACACATACATGGTGGCATAGCAGGAAGATATGAATGCCGTGAACCAAGAGGTTATGAGTTTAAATCCCAGGTGAGGACATGTAAGCAACTCCAGTGTACGTATATTTGGGATTGTGTTTTAGGTTATTGTCCTCCTGCTGAAAGGTGAATTTGTCTCCTAGTGTCTGTTGGAAAGCAGGCTGAACCAGATTTTCTTCTAGGATTTTGCCTGTACTTAGCTTGATAGGGTCGACAACAGTAACAAGGGGTGGTCTGTAAAAATGTTTACGTTTCATTGGGACCTTCAGGCGACGTCTTAAAAACGTATTTAGGGATGTACCTGGAACAAGTTTGGAACAAGACAAAAACTTCCAGGGGACCATAACAGAATGTCCTATGTTTTAAACAACATTGGACACAGGAATGTTCTGGCAAAATTCCCATGAAACGTGTCTACAACATGAATATCTTATATTCTGAGAACATGGTAACCATCAATCTACACATAGTACCCCATGACAAAGCAAAAACAGGTTTTTTGAAATTTCTGCTAATTTATTACAAATAAAAAAACTGAAATATGACATTTACATACGTTTTCAGACCCTTTACTCAGTACTTTGTTGAAGCGCCTTTGGCAGCGATTACAGCATCGGGTCTTCTTGGGTATGACGCTACAAGCTTGGCACACCTGTATTTGGGGAATTTCTCCCATTCTTCTCTGCAGATCCTCTCAAGCTCTTTCAGTTTGGATGGGGAGCGTTGCTGCACAGCTATTTTCAGGTCTCTCCAGATGTATTCGAACGGGTTCAAGTCCGGGCTCTGGCTGGGCCACTCAAGGACATTCAGAGACTTGTCCGAAGCCACTCCTGCATTGTCTTAGCTGTGTGCTTAGGGTCATTGTCCTGTTGGAAGGTTAACCTTCGCCCCAGTCTGAGTTCCTGAGCGCTCTGGAGCAGGTTTTCATCAAGGATCTCTCTATACTTTGCTCCGTTCATCTTTCCCTCGATTCTGACTAGTCTCCCAGTCCCTGCTGCTGAAAAACATCCCCACAGCATGATGCTGCCACCACCATGCTTCACCGTAGGGATAGTTCCAGGTTTCCTCTAGACGTGACGCTTGGCATTCAGGCCAAAGAGTTCAATCTTGGTTTCATCAGACCAGAGAATCTTGTTTCTCATGGTCTGAGAGTCTTTACGTACCTTTTGTCAAACTCCAAGCGGGCTGTCATGTGCCTTTTACTGAGGAGTGGCTTCCGTCTGGCCACTCTACCACAAAGGCCTGATTGATGGAGTGCTGCAGAGATGGTTGTCCTTCTGGAAGGTTCTCCCATCTCCACAGAGGAACTCTAGAGCTCTGTCAGAGTGACCATCGGGTTCTTGGTCACCTCCCTGACCAAGAACCCGATTGCTAAGTTTGGCCGGGCGGCCAGCTCTAGGACGAATCTTGGTGGTTCCATACTTCTTCCATTTAAGAATGATGGAGGCCACTGTGTTCTTGGGGATCTTCAATGCTGTAGAATTTGTTTGGTACCCTTCCCCAGATCTGTGCCTCGACACAATCGTGTCTCGGACCTCTACGGACAATTAATTCGACCTCATGGCTTGGTTTTTGCTCTGACACGCATTGTCAACTGTGGGACCTTATATAGACAGGTGTGTGCCTTTCCAAATCATGTCCAATCAATTGCATTTACCACAGGTGGACTCCAATCAAGTTGTAGAAACATCTCAAGGAAGATCAATGGAAACAGGATGCACCTGAGCTCAATTTCAAGTCTCATAGCGAAGGGTCTGAATACTTATGTAAATAAGGTATTTGTGTTTTTTAAATTTTAATACATTTGCAAAATGTTCTAAAAACCTGTTTTCGCTTTGTCATTGTGGGGTATTGCTGAGGATTTATTTTTATTTAATACATTTTAGAATAAGGCTGTAACGTAACAAAATATGGAAAAAGTCAAGGGGTCTGAATACTTTCCGAAGGCACTGTATAGATATAGATCTTCAGCTCAGTGATCCTATTTTTGAGCGAGAGAGAGATAATCTGACTCCGGTAAGGTTAAAAGGGTGACATTTTAGGCATATTTCAGGTGTGACTGGTCGAGGACCGGGGTGACTCTCGCTAGAGTTCTGACCTTTGACCTCTCAGAGAAGAAGATGCTGAGGAGGATCACTTTCCTCGTTACGGCCACGCTAGGTTGAGAAGGGTTGTCACAGGCAAGAAGATGGTAACCGGAGGTTGTTTTGTGATCTTGCTCAGGCTGCCTGTCTTAAAGTGATGCAGCACAGTTTTTGTATAATTCCAACCAGTAGTTTTGAAAGTAGCGCTCACGAGCCAAAACCTGTCCCCGAAAATTTGTATGATACGTTACATCCTGCAATGTTTTTTACATAATAATCAATATATAATCCTGCAATTCGTATTATATTTCACTAATTCCAATTTGTACAATATGTTACGAATTTCTAAGGGCTTAAGATCCCGTTCAATCTCTTTAAGTGGTGCATCTGCATTTTAACTTTCTCTCTCTCTCTCACTCAACACTCTTAACAGTTATGTCACTCAAAACCTCTAGATTACCATTTCATTAAATTGTTCACATAAGCACTGCTTTTGCATCAAGACACCACCACAACCTCAACAACAACACTCAGTCTAAAGAAATCAGCAAAATTTTAGACATTGTGGGACTGCTGTAATTTGTATATGGCTGAATCATTCTCATCCACACTATTTATGGTTTGAGACATCCATGAGGAGACAGCAGCTCAGGAGCCTCATCACTACGTATAGAGTACATTGGATTACACATCTTGTGCTACTCATCTGTCCAATAGCATTACTGGACATTACAGGGTTGAAGTGAAATCATATGATATTTTCCATCTGTGAAATGCATCAGAGCAAGTCATACAACATAAACCGTCATGCTAGACCAATCCTCTGATCAATATCTTGAGAAATTGGGGTCTTTGCTGCAATAAAACCATTATAACAGGTATATTGGGTTCTGAACTCTTAAAAATCCAATTACATCTGATTTTGTCAGGGTACATAATTTAATAATTCATAAATTAATAAATCCTGTTTGGTGGAAATGACCTGCTATTTTCAGTATGTATTTTAGACCCCTGAGAGCTTGTTGCTGATTGGCTAACTAACGCTCCACATTGGCCAGAAGTCAGCAGTATGACAGTGAGGGGTCTAGCTACTCAGCGACTCAGCGTTCTAGCTATTCACACACACACACACACACACACACACACACACACACACACACACACACACACACACACACACACACACACACACAGCTCAACTCAGCTACATGGCTGCACATGGGCGTATCCGAAGCGTGGTAGGTACATAAACGATGATGTAGCCCTTTCCTGCAGTTAAATGACCTAGTGGCCTTATGGTTGGAATGTTATTAATATTTTTCATGATCTCATAATTAATAAAAATTTCAAAAAACCCGCTGAAACTCCAGTGTTTAAATGTTAAACGGTTTTATTATATTTCAGTTTTCTGTGATGTATATAAGTGTAATATTGGGATGCAAACTAAAAAATGTAATACAATTCAACTCGATAAACGTTTTTTGGAAAAAAATCATAATACAAAAAAATAAAAAGTGGTTGTCCCACTGGCTATCCTAAGTTGAATGCACCAATTTCTAAGTCGCTCTGGATAAGAGTGTCTGCTAAATGACTTAAATGTAAATGTCTATCTGACATGGTACAGGTATCTTATTTTTTTAAGGCCATAACCATGTGTGTGAGGTGTATACTTTTGTCTCAAAGTAGATTTGTTTAAGACTACCAAAAAACACTCTGTGTGACCCTGATTTAGAAGTACTTTAACCACTGCAGTAGAAGGTTAAGATGTTCACCTAGCGTTGTGTATTATGGTGCAGAGAGAGCATTGAAAGCACTGAGAGAAGTTAGAGCCGTGGTATATGGCTCTCTATCTCTCCCCGGAGGGCTCTTCACCTTCTTGGTAACCCTGTCCAGAGCTATTTACAGTCGTGACAGCTAGCGCTACTCTAGACCTGTAAGAAGACACTGTAAGTCTGGGGCCGTATCAAGCATCTCAGAGTATGAGCGCTGATCTAGGATTTTTGATCACAATGAATAAGATTACACGGATAAGGGGGACCTGATCCTAGATTAGTACTCTTACTTTGAAACTCTTGATTCAAACAGCCCCAGGTCCCTCCTGTCCATGTAATCTTATTGATTATGATCTAAAAAGCTAAACTGATTCTAGATCAGCACTCCTTCTTTGAGACGCTTGATACATACAGACCCAGATCTGCTGTGGGCGTGCAGTGCAGTGTGCACTGCAAGGGTACATATCGGTTGTTGCTATGATGTCATAGTCTAATTTTGACCCTCTCCGAATTCAGTAGTTACGTAGTTTGTCCACTACACCCACATACTGTACTTGCATGCACGCACACATACCAATATACCCACAAGCCGCTTGGACACCCTCAACCAGAACTAAATAACCCAGAGAACCCCGAAGCGAAAACCTATAGATTTAGGACTCAGCTACACAGACCAGACCAGCTTCAACTCTGTTACCAACAACCAATAACATGACGTGTCCAAGGCCCAGACATTTGGAGTGCTCCACATCCTGGTTCAGTCTAACCAGGTTCCTAATATTCTCAGGAAAGACAGTCTATATTTTCTATTAAGGTGCTTTTTTTTAACATGTAGTGTTCTCCCCTGCCACCTTGTCTCTTTCTCTCTCTCCCTCATCCCCTCTTCCCTCCATTTCCCCCTGGGTTGATGATGCTGCCGGCTTCCTGGAATGTACCTGCAGCTCAAATTATGCTATGTCTCTCTCCCTCATTGTTGCCCCTCCCTCCATTCTCTCATCCCTCAGCTTCCCTCTATCCACTCTCTCACTTTCCCCCTCTTTCTCAGCATCCTTTCTCCCCACCTCAGGGGTCATAGCCTCAGGGACCATCTCCTCCACCTCCCTCAACCCTTCATCCCCTTTTCCCCTCATCCCTCCGTTTCGTCATGCTGTTCCAACACCCACGGCCAGGGTCAACTCCTACATCTCTCTCATCCTTACTCCCTCTTCCCCTCCATCCCTCCATCCATTCCCTCCATAGGACCCACCTCCAGGGCGAGCTCCTCCATCTCGAATACTTTCTGGGCATTTTTGTTGTTCTCCACATGTGTATGGTAGTAGATCACCATGACATCGTACTTCTTCATCACAGACTTGTAGTTCTTAGCATTGAGATCATGGACGCGGTCTTTCCCATCATACTCAGGGATCTCCAGACCCTTCTCTCCCCAGGACAGGTTCCCCAAAGAGAGCAGGGCCCCCAGAAACACCCAACCCCACTTCATGGTTCCAGGTTATTGTTGGTTCCCCCCACTCAGGTCTCCCACGACTTGGACGTCAATTGCTGAATTGTTTAATGTTGAGAAAAATATATATATATTTACGTTGTTCCTAAAATACAATTTTAAAAACGCCACTTAGGAACAAGGTCCACTTCGTTTCGACGCCGGCCAGAGAAGAGCAGGTCGGAGTGTTGAACCCCCCCTTTTACACGTGGGCTCAGACACTACTGTCCAAGGGGGTGAGTGAGGGGTGGGGTTCCAACGAAGAGGGCGAGTTGGAGAGAGAGAGAAGCAGGCTGCAACCCGGGAAGAGTGGGCAACCAAAAAGTAGGGAGAGAAAGTGGGAGGGAGGGGGGGCTTGATGACGATGGGTTTGTAGAAAATAGCAAATGGATGGAAACGTGGGAGGGGCTATCTTTGGATCGCATGGCCACCTGTTGGATGCCATGGCTACGGAGGGAGGGAGGGAGAGAGAGAGAGAGAGAGAGAGAGAGAGAGAGAGAGAGAGAGACGGGATTCCATTCCCATATTAAGTTTTGTAGAGGACGCTGACCACGGCTAAAAATACTGACACAAACGGTGTGAGCAAGATGGCCGCCATGGATGATGAGCGATGGGCTTGGCTTGATAGATGTGTACTGTAGCCTGCAAGTTCAGAGAGAGAGAGCGAGAGAGAGCGAGAGAGAGAGAGAGAGAGCGAGAGAGAGAGAGAGAGAGAGAGAGAGAGAGAGAGAGAGAGAGAGAGAGAGAGAGAGAGAAGACAGAGAAGACAGAGAATGGGGCATATTGAGAGTGTCATAGATTCTATGGCACAGAGTATAGGGCATGACGCACATTATGTTGAACTAGGTACTGTTGTCTGCCAGTGCAGGGCCTAGCTGGGTGGCAGACAGAGAGAAAAAAAGAGAGACAGACAGAGGCATATTTAGGGTGGCACAGAGTATAAAGGGCATGAGACACATAGATGATTATGTTGAACTAGGTCGGCCTTACTGTAGTCTGCCAGTGCAGGGCCTAGCTGAGTGCCTAGACAGACAAACAGACAGACAGACACGCATATTCAGGATGGCACAGATTCTTTGGCACAGAGTAAACGCCTTGAAGTACTGTACATTTAACGTTATGGTGATGACTCCTGGCTGCCGCTGTTCCCAGTCTACCTGGTTGTGCTGCTGATCCAGTTTCTTCAATTCTGCCTATTGAACCCTGACCTGTTCATCAGACGTGCTACCTTTTCCCCGGACCTGCTGTTTCGACTATCTCTCTCTCTCTCTCTCTCTCTCTCTCTCTCGACCTCTGAATGTTTGGCTATGAAAAGCCAACTGATGTTTACTCCTGAGGTGCTGACTCTATAACTCTATAAACACTTTGTTTATTATTTGACCCTGCTGGTCATCTATGAACATTTGAACATCTTGAGGAACCCCAAAAAGGGTTCTATCTGGAACCAAAAAGGGTTATCCTATGGGGACAGACGAAGAACCCTTTTGGAACCCTTTTTCCTAAGAGTGTAGGTTCCTTTGATGGACTAGAAGAACAGCAATCTTTGATGCTTTACTGGGCATTTTGTGACTGTTATTATTTCCTATAGAAAATGAAGAAATGCCAGTAAAACTAGAAATGCAAAAGCTTCCTTCTATATGGATAGTCTTACAATGAATTAAAACAATCCAGAGAAGTCTCTGGAAATACACAAATTACCAAGGGTTGCATGTTTTGGTTTTTCGCTACACAGCTGATTCAAATAATCAACTAATCATCAAGCTTTGATCATTTGAATCAGCTGGGCAAAAAACTAAAATGTGCACCCCTTGGGGTCCTGAGGATCGAGTTTGGGAAACGCTGCTCTAGCAGATCTATTCAACATGTCTTTAACGACTGGTGAAATACCTTTTGTTTGGAAATGTGCCTGAGTAACCCCTCTCTTCATAAAGGTGGAAACTCCTTAGACCCAAATAACTATAGACCTATATCAGTAATCTGTTCAATAGCAAAACTATTTGAGAAATTAATACATTCCCAAATGTATCAGTACATACATTTAATTTAATTTCACAATTTAAATCTGACTTTAAACCAAACCATTCCACCACTACAGCATTAGTGAAACTTACTCATGATATACACTGAGTGTACAAAACATTAATTTTGAGTTGCACCCCCCTTTGCCCTCAGAACAGCCTCAATTCATCAAGGCATCCACAGGGATGTTGACCCATGTTGACTCCAGTGCTTCCCACAGTTGTGTCAAGTTGGCTGAATGTCCTTTGGGTGGTGGACCATTTTTGATACACACAGAAAACTGTTGTGCATGAAAACCCCAGCAGCGTTGCAGTGCTTGACACACTTAAACCTGGTGCACCTGGCACCTACTACCATACCCAGTTCAAAGGCACTTAACTATTTTGTCATGCCCATTCACCCTCTGAATGGCACACATTCACAATCCTTCTCTCAATTGCCTCAAGGCTTAAAAATCCTTATTTAACCTGTCTCCTCCCCTTCATCTACACTGATTGAAGTGGATTTAACAGGTGACATCAATAAGGGATCATAGCTTTCACCTGGATTCACCTTGTCAGTCTGTCATGGAAAGAGCGGGTGTTCCTAATGTTTGTACCCTCAGTGTATGTTAGCTATTAGCTAGTATTGCGCGTGTGTACACATGTTGCCTAGGTACAGTATATGCACGAGTGAGTGCATATATATTTAGGGGAACTTGGAGAGAGCGAGATAGAGAGAGCGAGCTAGAGCCAGAGAGAGAGAGAGGAAGCTAGAGCGAAAGAGAGAGAGCGCTAGACCCAGAGAGAGTGTGAGAGAGAGAGCGCTAGAGAGAAGGAGAGAGAGCTAAAGAGCGAGAGAGTTGGAGCCAGAGAGAAAGAGAGAGAGCTAGACAGGCGAGAGAGCTAAAGAGCGAGAGAGCTAGAACCAGAGAGAGAGAGAGAGAGCTAGATAGAAAGAGCGATATCTTGAAAGGAGAGAGCTAAAGAGACATATAGCTAGAGAGAGAGCTAGAGAGAAGGAGGGCTAAAGAGAGAGAGAGCATGTCAGATATTAGTTTACAAAGTGAAAAAGGAGAGGAGAGTTATTAATTAACCGTTTGTAACCTCATCCTCTCCTCCTCCATGTCATATGCTGGCTCATACAGTTTGTGCCTATTTAGATACCAGGCAGACAGGGGAAGAGGGGTTGGGTGCAAGGAGCTGGTAGGTACAATATATGGGGAAGTTAAATGGAGGTTGGAGGAACTTCTATTTTATTGGTAGTGTGTGTGTGAGAGAGAGAGAGAGAGAGCGAGAGAGAGAGCGAGAGAGAGCGAGAGAGAGAGAGAGAGAGAGAGAGAGAAAGTGACTGAGTGTGTGTGTATATATTTGATGGTCGACAACCAAGCCTGCATGCGTGCATGAATGTTTGTGGTGTGTATGTGTGTGTACTAGGACCCTGTAGCTCAGTTGGTAGAGCATGGCGCTTGCAACGCCAGGGTTGTGGGTTCGTTTCCCACGGGGGGCCAGTATGAAAATGTATGCACTAACTGTAAGTCGCTCTGGATAAGAGCGTCTGCTAAATGACTAAATTTTTTTAAACAAAAAAATGTAGGGCAATGACGACGGTATTGCACCTCAGTGGAAAACAGCACCCTCCTCTGGCCATAGCAGTAATGGCACCACACATGTTGAAACATCTCAATCACTATGATTGTCATTTAGCTGCTTTGCATATACAGGCACATAATAGCATAATATTATGGCATTCAGTGCATCTTAAAGGTGCAAAATGCAGAAGTCGCTCAGGCATTCCCTGGTTGCTAAAATTCGAATAATAACCCTAATTTCAGTTTATGTGACAAAACAAGCAATAGTGTAGTGTAGAGAATCATTGTACCATCGAAACCGCTGTGAAATACATGACATGACCAAAATAATGTGGACACCTGCTCGTCAAACATCTCATTCAAAAATCATGGGAATTAATATGGAATTGGTCCCCCCCTTTGCTGCAATAACAGCGTCCACTCTTCTGGGAAGACTTTCCACTAGATGTTGGAACATTGCTGCGGGGACATCCTTCCATTCAGCCACAAGAGCATTAGTGAGGTCGGGCACTGATGTTGGGCGATTAGGCCTGGCTCGCAGTCAGCGTTCCAATTCATCCCAAAGGTTTTCGATGGGGTTCAGGTCAGGGCTCTGTGCAGGCCAGCCAAGTTCTTCCACAACAATCTAGGTAGCGTTCTCCTGGCAGATAGTGAAGCGTGATTCATCACTCCAGAGAACATTTACATTACATTTTACATTTTAGTCATTTAGCAGACGCTCTTATCCAGAGCGACTTACAGTTAGTGAATACATATATTTTTATACTGGCCCCCCGTGGGAATCGAACCCACAACCCTGGCGTTGCAAACACCATGCTCTATCAACTGAGCTACATCCCTGCCGGCCATTCCCTCCCCTACCCTGGACGACGCTGGGCCAATTGTGCGCCGCCCATGAGTCTCCCGGTCGCGGCCGGCTGCGACAGAGCCTGGATTCGAACCAGGATCTCTAGTGGCACAGTTAGCACTGCAATGCAGTGCCTTAGACCACTGCGCCACTCAGGAGTAGAACGTGTTTTCTACTGCTCCAGAGTCCAATGGCGGCAAGCTTTACATCA